CAGAAAAGATGTTAAAAAAGGCTGACAGGTTTAACTCCTTTTTTTTTTTTTTTTTTTTAACACCACAGTATTGGGTCCCTGAATCTGCAGTCACCATTGCAGTTAGGGGAATGCACAAAGACAGCACTTTACCAGTGGTTTGCAGAATATGGAGCTAAGTTAGTCCATGGTGACTGGAGAGTAAAGGAAACATGGGCTCATATAAGCGGAGGCCATTTGAACAACTGAAAACCAGAAAAATAAATAATGAATGAATATAAGCAATCTTCAAGTTACTAGTCAATGATATATTTTTTTACCACCAAATATTTTACTTCACCTTGGGAAATTTCCATATGCTATCACACTTTTTTCTTCCACTTGCTGAAATGGCTAGGGGAAGAACTGGGCATTGCAACATAGTAATAAGACCACCCAAATGGGCAAAGAGAATCTGAAGGGAAGGCCCTTTCAAAGAACCTGTCTGCTTAGTAGAAGTTCACATGATGTAGCAAAACTGTGGAATAATTTTTTTTTTTTTTCTCTAGTTTGCCAGTCTGGGACCCAACTTGGAAAAAAAGGGAAAAAATACACCATAAAAAACCCTCAGCTCCAATGATGCCCCAGTCAAACCTATTTTACTGCTCCAGTAGAGAGGAGACAGGAATCATGATGGCAGCTCTGTGCCTGTGGAAGATTCATTCTGCAGGTGGGCACGTGCCTGTCCGCTTAACACAATTTGGAATCGTACTTTCAGCCTACATTTGGATCCTCTTAAGGCTTGTTTTTGTTAGGCTGAACATCTCAGCCAATCTCTGTTGCTATGATATGACAAGAGAAGAGGAGGTATCAGAATCACACTGCTGATCTAGACCACCTTATTTTTATGTTCAGATTCCAAGTTTTTTGGAAGTCATTACAGAACAACAGATATTATATGCTGGTTGTGAGAAACTTTAACTTTGTTCAAAATTCAGCTATTTATTCCAAACCTTTTCATGAAGTAATAGTCATCTTGATGGTGTCCTTACTTGAAAATAATTTATATCGCTCTCTGGGGCAAGGATAGGTAGCAATAGCAGACATTTGTAGTGGCATTTAGATGTCCTGAAGAATGTCCCCAAGATGTGAATGTAAATAGTAGATTGCAGGTCAAGTCCAAAAAGAGACAGCACATCAATTTCACTTTTTTCTAGTTATTTTTTCTGTCTACTAGCATTACTTAATACTAGCTAAATGAAATTACTGCCACATCATGCTGGATCCACTTCTGATGTAGGACTGGGTTAATTTCCACTTGCACTAGTGCGTTCTGATAAAACAGAAAAATAGACCTGGTTTATCAAGAACTTCAGTGAGAACTGCTACCTGCTAATCTCTTTCATATACAGAACAGGACTGCTGTGAGGCTTGCTTCTTTACAGAGCAATATAGTCTAAAAAGTAAATTGAACACTTCTCAGTATCTCCTGTAAGAATTTAATTGAATTGCTAAGAATGATTAAATGTGTTTTTGTGATATTTCTTCTTTAAAATGTTGGATTGCTTAATATAATACAAATAAGCAAATGGAGTTATTTGGACATTAGCATTTGCTAGCTTTGTGCTGTTTCACTATTGTGTAGAAAACGCAGCAGACTGGTACTTTGTGTTGCAAAGGTTGTGTTTTAATATTCCTAAATTACAGCTTGATACTTGAAAAGATTATTTGTTCAAAAATAGTGCTATCAAGTACAGCTTTCTGTTAAGGGAGTTGTGCCTTATCTTTGGGGTTAACTGAATATCAAGTGTTTATGTCAGTTCATGAAGACTGGGTTGTGATGTCACCTTTGAATTATCAGCTCTGTTTCGGTTCACTATCTTAGGGCAGTGACAGATAAAAAAAGGCATAATTCAAGGCCTTGCTCACTTTCTCCTCAACCCTTCTTGTGGGGGGCCAGGAATGGAAAACTACACTTACTTACGTACAGGAATTCTTTGTTTAGCATCTCTGCCCTATAAATTTCATGCTTTCATTATACTCAAGTAAAGGATCAGTCCTGTTATGGAAAAAGGGGGGGAAATGCTGCTATATTTAAAAAGAAGGTTTACTTTGGAGGAAAAAAAAGAGAAAGAGAAAAGAAGGTTGCCTATTTTAAGCTGTTGCGGAGTAGAGTTTTTTAATTAAAAAAAAAAAGAAAGAAAAAGAAAAACATAAGTACCATTTTATTCTGAGGGTGTGTTTCAATTGTCAGTTTATATTTTATTTCAGCCAAGCAGGCTTTGTTTTATATGCGTTTTCTGATTTTTTTGCAATTGTTATGTATTCTTTGCATCTTTCTTTAAATTGATATTCTGTGTTTTTACCCCCTTTAAAAAATCCTTTGTGGGGATCCTTGTCTACTTGCCCTACCTATTACTTACTACCAAGACATAAGTGGAAACTTCCCACCACTCCTTTCTGTCGTAGCTTCTCGGTCATTATTTGCCCTAACTGTTGATTCTTTTATTAGTTTGACTTTCCAGCCACTTTAATAACATGATTATCACCAACCTCACAGCTTGCTTCAGGCTTAGTGTTAGAGTGAGATGGATTCAGCTAGCCTGAGGATTATGCTCTGTAAGATCTGTTTGTAGCAAAAATTACCATTTCTGGCTTTTGAACAGTAAACTACAAAAGAGAAACAAATTATATAGCTTTGGATTAAACGAAAGGATGAATGAAACAAAGGAAATGATCTGTTCGCAGAGGTGGCTGTTAATTGTTTCACTTTAGCTGAAAAGGAAGACGTTTCCTAAATGTCATGCTGTATGTTCTTGCACAGCACTGTTTTCTCACACGTCACTGCATCTGCATGTATTCT